ACAACAGCCCCCGGACAGCCTGCCTCACAGACAACAGCCCCCGGACAGCCTGCCTCAGACAACAGACAACAGCCTACCACAACAGCCCATGGGACAGCTCACAACAGTCGACCAAATGGCACACACCACACCACTGTTCTCCCCCATACCCACGCTGCCCCAGCCAGCTGCCCCTCGGCCGTGAGCGCACCGCTGCGCGCCCGCTTCCCACCAAGCCAACACGTGTGCCGTCCGCGTGGTCTGGGCAGCCGTGCCGCAGCAGGCGAGCGGCCTGGCAGACTCACTGTTGCCGTAGCGGTGCTCCTCCACCGTCCACACCGTGCTCTCATGGAGGCCTCGGGACCGCTTCTCCCCCACCACCTCCAGCTGCCGGAAGCCCCAGTCAGGGAGGTGAGCCCCGCTCAGCTGGGAAACGCAAGGAGGGGACAAAGTGCGCATGGCAGCAAGCCTGGCTCCGGTCGGCTCAGTGCCCAGGGCAGACCTCCACACCTCCCCTGCTCAGGGCTGTTTTGATTTATTTTTAAATGCAAGGCCCAGGGCTTGAACTCAGGGCCTGGGTGCTGTCCCTGAGCTTTTGTGCTCAAGGTTAGTGCTCTACCACTTGAGCCACAGCAACACTTCTGGCTTTTCCAATGGTGAATTACATGAGTCTCAGACTTTCCTGCCTGGGCCAGCATTGAACTGTGATTCTCAAGTCTCAGCTTCTGGAGTAGCTGGTATTACAGGTGTAGCTGCCACCTCCCCTGAAGGGCCCTCAATTCTGAGAAGTCACAGAGCCCCCCCACCCCACCCTATCGCGGTGTGAAGTGGAGAGTGGTGACTTTCATTAGTCACGTGCCCTGCCACACAGCTCCTTGTCTGGCCTGAAGAGCCCAGGAACAGCCAAGCAGGCCCACGGCCCAGAGAGGCTGGTGAGGAAGCAGCGCCCTTTACCTTCAAGATGGCAGACGTGTTCACATGCACAAAGCGAACCTCCGACAGGATGGTCTTCCACACGTCCCTGTCTGACTCTCTGTTCACAATGTCCTGCAAGAACAGATCTCGTCAGCGCGGGCGTGGCTCGGAGTGGAGGGCTCACCCAGCATGCTCCAGGCCCTGGGTTTGATCGCCAGTACCACACACCAAAAAATCAAAGACCAGCCAGGAGCCTGTGGCTCACATGTGCAATCCTAGCATGAACCATGGCTGAGGGTGGAAGACGGCAGCTGAGGCCAGCCCAGGCACTGCAAGTCTGTGAGAGTCCATCTCAAAGGAAGTAGCTGAGTGTGGTGCTGCACGCCTGTCATCCTAGCTAAACAAGAAAGTGCGCTGAGGCATGGGGCCAAGCAGGACCAGTGCAAAGTAGGGCTAGGGCATAGCTCAAGTGGTAGAGCACCTGACTAGTGAATGTGAGGTCCTGAGTTCAAACCCCAGTACTGCGTCCCCTCCCCCACACCCAAGAGGATCTTGTTGACCACTCTATTCAATCTTTTTCCCCTTAAATATAAAACTATAGCTGGGTGCCAGTGGCTCATGCCTATAATCCTAGCTACTCAGGAGGATGAGATCTGAGGATTGAAGTTTGAAGCCAGCCCGGGCAAGTCTGTGAGACTCTCCAATTAACCACACACACAAAAAAAGTGGGCAGTAGAGCTGTGGCTCAAGGAGTAGAGCACCAGCCTTGAGTGACAAAACTAAGTGAGAGCTTGAGGTTATAAGCCCCAGTACCAGCACCAAAAACCAAAATCCAAAACAAAGAAACTCCAAAGCACGAAGAAGCCAGGCTGGTGGCTCACGCCTGTAATCCTAGCTACTCAGGAGGCTGAGATCTGGGGATCAAGGTTCAAAGCCAGCCCAGGCAGGAAACCATGAAGACTCCTATCTCCAATTAACTATCAGAAAACCAGAAGTGGCACTGTGGCTCAAGTGCTAAAGCTCTCATTTTGAGCTGAAGAGCTGAGGGACAGCGCCCAGGCCCAGAGTTCAAGCCCCATGACTGATAATAAAACAAAGAAGAGGCAGGGTCCAATTAGAAGCTGGCAGGGAGTTGACCTCTGCCCCAGGAATGACCACCAGCCATGGCCCACATTCAGGTCCTTGACCTCACACGGACCGCTTCCTGTGCTGACCTTCCCAGCAGGCCTGGTCACTCTGGGCCCAGCTACCTGCAGAACACAAGGGCATGCTGTTGATGCCCAGGTGAAGTCTGGCCAAGAGGTCCCCTTTGGGCAGCGGGACCTCTGGAGCTCACAGCCACCTGGGAGGGCTGGGTCACAGTGAGTGAGCCACGAGCCCCCTGTCCCCTACCCCCCCTCTAGGACCCCCAGCCAGGCACGGACCCATCTCTCTTTAGACTTGACCCTCCCCCGCAGAGGAGGAGGACATCTGGGTACAAGCATCCCCAAGCTGCTCCATTGTTTCACCGTGACCAAGGGCAGGGAGTGGCGGTCTGGAATGTTCACCCATGTCAGCCGTACCCCCGGTATGGGCTGGCGCCCAGTGGAACTCACCAGCCTCCAGAGGTTCTGCGCGGGCATGGAGACGTTGTAATCCATGTAGCAGGAAACTTCCTGCGAGTGAGGGCTCAGCGGGGCCGCCACGTCGTGCCTGGAAACCACAGTAGAACAAGTCCCTGGGGGCGCGCCGCGTGGCCAGTGGGGGACTGGCCGCCTCAGGCCTGGGACCCCAACCCTGCATCACCCTGCCTATGGGTTCAGAGAAGCTGGCCGGGCGCGGCGAGGCACCGTGTGGAGAGAGTGGGCTGGCCTCCACCGTCAGGAGTTGGAGGCCGCAGTGCTGGGGAGGGGGGCCAGCACGGGAAGTGCTGGGGGGCAGCACCCCACCACACCTGTGATAGGTGGACACCCGGGCAGACAGCGAGGGAGAGACCCGGGGACGTACTCGGGCGGCCGATGGTGGCGCGGAGCAGGCCTGCACGGACAGCGAAGGGCACGGAAGGACCGCGCCAGCGCCCCACCCGTGCCAGCCAGCTGCACAACCTCGGGCCGCCTGCGCCCCACGTGTGTTGGGAATGGAGATGGGAGTGAACCCAGGAGGAGGAGGAGGAAAGAAAGGAAGAAGAGGAGGGAGAGGAGAGGACAGGAGGAAGGGAAGAGGAGAGGAAGAAGCGTGGGGGGAGCAGGAGGAGCGGGAGCCAGTCTGGCTCGGGGCCCTCTGACGGTGGTGGGGGTGTCAGTGGGGGAAGCTGGGCTCCAGATAGGCACACCGGCGGGGTTCTGAGGCCACTCAGGAGCAGGGATGAGGCGGGAAGCCAAGGAAAGCCTTCCTTGAGGCCCGAGCACCCCAGCCAATGCACTGGGAAGGTAAGGCAGGGCAAGCGGCCTGCCAGTCTTTCCCAGAGCCTTTCCCAGCTTGGTTCTTCCCTAACCTGACATTTGTCTGGAGCTCACTCACGTTTAAGACCACCCATGTTCCGTTCTCTTTAGAAAGTCCTTTGTGGACCTGTCAGTCCACAAAGGCACCTTGGTTTGTATTCTAGAACGCACTATGCACTGGCGAGGCTCTGTTCCCTCTTTTTTTTTTTTTTTTTTTGCCGGTTGTGGGGCCTGAACTCTGGGCCTGGGTGCTGTCCCTCAGCTCTTCAGCTCAAGTCTAGCACTCTACCACTTGAGCCACAGCGCCACTTCTAGCTTTTTCTGCTTATGTGGTACTGAGGAATCGAACCCAGGGCCTCATGCATGCAAGGCAATCGCTCTACCACTGAGCCACTTTTCCAGCCCCGGCTCTGTTCGCTCTTAGGCAATCCCGTCCCCCCGTCCCCCCAGCTAACGCGCATGCGTGGGGTGGCCGCTGGACCCTGCAGCAGGGCCCTGTCCCGCTCTGGGCAGCCGGCGGCTGGCGCACTCACGTGTTGAGGAAGCGGGTGGTCATGCCGTGGACCAGCTGCACGATGTCCCCGTGTCGCACCGGCCGCGGAGGGCTGCTCACCACCAGCGGATGCCTGCGAAGACGCGGTACTGTCCCACGCAGCTCAGGGCCCGCACGTGCAGTGCGGGCAGTCCAGGCTCCGTGGGGAGAGGCCCAGAGCCCAGGGCCTCCCAGGACCCACACTCACCGTGCTGGGTCCTTCACGATCCACCAGTTGTTGACGTCTTTGAAAGGGTAGCAGGTGACCTGCTGCTGGTGGGAGCTGCCCCGGCCATTCTCGTATCTGTGGGGAATCAACGAGGATGTCTGTGAGGCACTCAGTCCAGGGCCCAGCCCTGGCCCACACCTCCTCAGGTCCTGTGCAGTCAGCACCTCTGGAGGGGGCCGGGGGAGACCGAGGGCCAACAGCTACAGCCTAGAGTTCAACAGCCCTCAGGCCAGGTAGACACAGGAGAAGACCCAGCAGCTGAGAGCAGCCCTCAGCACTCCCACCCAGACGCCCCAGCCCCCGCGGCCTGGAACCCGACGGCCAGCTGCCTTGTTCTCACGCTTACACAAAGCGAGAGCTGCTAACCTAAGCTGAACTGAAAAACAAATCAGTCCACGACACTATCTCATCTGCAGGTCAAAGGCCAGAGCGGCCGCTTCCCTTACATCACGGGGTAGGTGCTCTGGTGAGAATGAAGCCAGCACGGCAAAGGTTTGCCGAAGACATTCCTCAGGGTGACCTGGGACCCGAAGGCCACCTCCAGGGGCTGGCCCTGTGTGATCCGGGCTAGCCCCCCCTAAGACAAACAGAGAGGGTCGCAGGTGAGCACAGCACCCCGAACGCCACGCCACCTGGCCGATACCCAGAGTGGGGGCACTGAACAATTGCACACGCGTGTCACACGGCCTGTCCTCCCTCACGGCAGATCCCGAGCGAGGTCCTCACAGACTGAGCTAGCCCTTCCCTGCACACCTCACTCCTGTTCTTACAGAGAGGTGAGCAACCCTGGTGTCCAAGGTGTGGGAGAGACGAGCCAGCCTGCAGGCAGCCATGTTCCATCCCCCCTGACAGGACTGGAAAACAAGTACTCTGAGCTTAGAATTATAGACCAGAGCTCAAGCAATCACATCTAAACCTGAGACCAAACATCCTGCTGGCTCTCAATCTCCTGGAAATCAGAGCCTTGTGGATTTCAGCTTTCCTGGGCAGGGACATCCACCCTGTACATGTGCGCCGTTAGGAGGAGGGAAAGGCAGATCTGAGCCGGTCTACAAGGCCTTTGGAGCTGCAGGACTTTACTTTTTCTTTTGGTGCTGGTCCTGGGGTTTGCACTCAGAGCCTGGGTGCTATCGCTTTTTTGTTGCTTCAGGCTGGCTTCCAACTGTGATCCTCTGAGCTCAGCCCCTTGAGGAGCTAGGATTACAGGCGTGGGCCACCAGCTCAGGACAGGACTTTACTTTCAACCGTGTTCATTCAAGTCAGACTGAGACTCAGAGCCAGCCCCTTCGTTTACTTCCACAGCACCGGCATGTTCACAAGTTCTGTTGCTTTCCTGTCCTGCGAGCTCTCTTGATGTGGGTCGGACAGAACCCCGGGCCAACAGCCTTGCAGCTGCACTCCTCACCTCTAGGCTGGCCTGGAAGGCACTGGACATGACTTGGTCGTGGGGCCCAGAGCGGTAGAGCAGCATGAGGTGCACATAGAAGAAGAGCAAGTACAGGACGACCGGGATGACCAGCAGAGCCACCGCCCTGGCCAGCAGGTGACAGCAGACACAGACCTGTGGGAAGCGGGCAGTCACGCCCCAGACCCCGCGGACGCAGACACCCCGCTCCCCGCCAAGGCACGCAGGAGCTCCTGAAGCTGGCAGGTTGGGGTCTTTGCACTGCCGCTTCCTTGGGACAGACAGCCGCCCCTCCCCGTCCCCTCTCTAGCCGGCCCAGTGAGGTGAAGGCATCGGCACCTACGTTTGTCAGAGTCTGGTCTCCAATCAGTTGCCAGGCATGGACGGCTGCCACGCCGAGCACGAGGAAGTATGTGAAAATGCCCATGTATTTAATGCTGAAAACACAAGGCAGACAGAAGGTTTCCTAGGAGACACAAGGCAATGGAGGGCAGGAGCACCCACCCGGGCCGGAGTCTCCAACTCACCCCACGGCACAGGAGCATGCCACACCTGTCAGCATCAGCCACAGCCACCAGCAGAGAGAGAAGGGGCTGCAGGGCAGAGCAGAAAGCTAGGGACGGTGCACAAGGCTCTACGCGCCCGAACAGGCCACACGTCTGAGCTTCTGTGTGGCTGGTCCAACCAAGAGCCATGCAGTAAGAAGAGCCCGCCCCTCTACTTTGAGAATTTTTCTTTTGTTAGTCTTGGGGTTTGAACTCAGGTCTGGGCATTGTCCCTGAGCTTTTTGGCCCAAAGCTAGTGCTCCACCACTTTGAGCCACACTACCACTTCTGATTTTCTGGAGGTTAACTGGAGATAAGAAATCTCATGGAGGGGCTGGGAAGGTGGCTCAGTGGTAGAGCGCTTGCCTTGCATGCCTGAGGCCCTGGGTTTGATTCCTCAGCACCACATATGCAAAAAGAAAAAAGCTGGAAGTGGTGCTGAGGCTCAAGTGGTAGAGCGCTAGCCTTGAGCAGAAGAGCTGAGGGACAGCGCCCAGGCCCAGAGTTTAGGCCCCATGACCGGACCCCCCCCCCCAAAAAAAAAGAAATCTCATGGACTTTTCTGCCCTGGCTGCCTCAGAATGCAATCCTCACATCTCAGCCTCCTGAGTAGCTAAGATGACAGGTGTCAGCGCCCAGCCCCAGCATGATTCCCATTTCTTTTTTGTTAAGAAAAAATTTAGTGGGACAAAGTCATGGAAAAATGAGGATGTGTTTATAAAATATGGACCAAGAGCCAACCCCTGAAATGTTAAGTGGTCTTAAGGCATTTAGCAAGCAACTCCTCCAAGTAAAAAGGAGTACCAGTGGCTCACACTTGTAATCCTAGCAACTTAAGAGGCTGAGATCTGAGGATTATGGTTCAAGGCAGGCCCAGACAGGAAAGTCTGTGAGCCTCTTATCTCCAATTAATCAGGAAAAAAGGGTTCAGAAGGCATCAGGAGTTTTTCTTATCTAGATAAGGAAAATTGTGCTCCTCCCCTTCCATACCTGTGTCTCTGGCAGTTGAAGAACTTCAAGTAGGATAATACAGCCAAGAGGTTAAAGAATATTAGCAAAGACTCCATGAGCATGAGTCGGGCCTGCGTGATCAGGGCATTCTCTGTTAAGAGATGGAGCATGCCTCAGGTGAAGGCAGCACTGAGGACAAATTCATGCCCAGTGAGAGACCCTGCCACTCTGCACCCCGGGGAGCGTGTCCTGGTCCCTCTAAGAAAACCTAAGGTCATGTGAGCTCGTGGCTCCCAAACACTGTAGAACTTGCATTCAGCCTGGGCATGCCATCGCTAGGCTACCTACAGCACCTAATACATCGCAAAAATTATATAAATAGTTGTTTGACGCATGTCTCGGGTGGTAGAGTGCCAGCCAATATGCAAAATGTCAGTTACCAAGTTTTGGGGGTTTTTTTGATGGGTCCTGGGGCTTGAACTCTGGGCCTAGGCACAGTCCCTCAGCTCTTCAGCTCAAGGCAAGCGCTCTACCACTTGAGCCACAGGACTACTTCATTTTCTGGTGGTTTATTGCACATAGAGTCTCATGGACTTTCCTGCCAGGGCTGGCTTTGAACTGCAATTCTCAGATCTCAGCCTCCTGAATAGCTAGGATTACAGACTTGAACTCTGGGCCTGGACGCTGTCTCTCAGTTCTTCAGCTCAAAGCTAGTGCTCTACCATTTGAGTCACAGTGCCACTTCTGGCTTTTTTTTTTTTTTTTGCTTATGTGGTGCTGTAGAATTGAACCCAGGGCCTCATGCATGCTAGGCAAGCACTCTACCACTGAGCCACCTTCCCAGCCCCTGCATACTTATTTCTTCTTCTTCTTCTTTTTTTTTTTTGGTCCGGTCGTGGGCCTGAACTCTGGGCCTGGACGCTGTCCCTGAGCTCTTCAGCTCTAGGCTAGCACTCTACCACTTGAGCCACAGCGCCACTTCGGGCTTTATTCTTTTTGCTTATGTGGTGCTGAGGAATCGAACCCAGGGCCTCATGCATGCAAGGCAAGTGCTCTACCACTGAACCACCTTCCCAGCCCCTGCAGACTTATTTCTGAGACAGACTTTCTCCATGTAGTTCAAGTGGGTGTTCAGTTTGAGGTCTTCCTGCCTCATGCTCCCAAGTGCTGGGACTACAGGTGTGTGTTACCACACCTGGCAGGAGTCAGTGTTTTTTTGCCCCTCAGTGCCAAGGATGGAACCGAGGGCCTCGCGTATGCTAGGCAAGGGCTCTACCACTGAGCTACATGCCCAGTCATAGTGCTTTTATTTTCTTTGATCATTTGAGATCCACAGTTGGTTGAAAATGCAGCTAGAGAACGACAGCTGTGGAGGAGGCCACGGCGCTCAACTAAGACACAGCATTCCGCAGTGGGCAGCTGGCAGGACAGGCACTCCCCAGCCAGGAAGGGACAAGGGAGGTATGGGTCGGCTTGCACGTGTGTTCAGGGCAGCTCAGCTGCTAGGCTTTCCCACGCTGCTGTCCTTACATGCACAATGCAACTTCACAGACGCCCTGCGAGGCTGGCGCCCTGCAGAGGCCCAGGACCTCATTCCCAGGCACCATGCAAGAAATTCCCTTTCCTTTCTTTTTCCTGTTTTGGTGCTGGTCCTGGGACACTTTGAATTCAGGGACTGGGCACTGTCCCTGGCTTTCTCAAGGCTAGTGTCCTACCACTTGAGCCACAGGTCCACTTCTAGCTTTTTGTTGGTTAATTGAAGATAGAGAGTCTCACAAACTTTCCTGCCCAGGCTGGCTCTGAACTGCAATCCTGGCTCTCCCCAGCCTGAGTTGCTAGAATTACAGGAGTGAGCACTGGTGCCTGGTCAACTCACTCGTCTCTTCCGTTCATCAACCTGCGAGGGAGGTGGAAGGAGGGGCTCTGGGCTGAAGCTAGGGTGCAGGCGGAGGTGCCAGTGGTGGGGGTGTGCGCAGGGCACCGTCCGGCGCCTCCGTCCCTGCCTTTATTCAGCTCCATCTCCAGGAGGGACGGGTGGGACCACAGCCCAACAACCCCTTACAAGGCACTGCCCTGCCAGCGGGTCCTCTCGGTGTGAATGAGCCAGCCGTGCTTCCCCAGGCACGGGAGGCGGGGAGGCCCAGAAGCCCACACTGAACCAGGACAGAGTCCCTGAGAGGCGCAGGGGCAGGGCAGCAGGGGTCTGGGCTTACCCATCAGCACCAGCAGGGCAGCTCCCATGGCGGCACAGTGGGAAAAGTGGAGCTCGGACACTATCTGGTAGGCCATGGGGACGGACAGGGCCCCTGCGAGCGCCGGCAACAGGCGCAAGGACCACACAGGCACGTTGCTGGTGTATTCTGCAGAGGGAAGTGCACAGTGAGCCGGAGAGCATGCTACTTGCCATCTTCTCCCCTCAGGGCTCAGGCTGAAAAGTACATTAGCATTGGCCTGTGCAAACCAGGGTCCTGGATCCATAACCCACTTTGTGTTCCTTGTGTTCTAGGGCTTGAACTCAGGGCCTAGGTGCTGTCCCCGAGCTCTTTTGTTTTTTTTTTTTTTTGTCCGTCGTGGGGCTTGAACTCTGGGCCTGGGCGCTGTCCCTCAGCTCTTCAGCTCAAGGCGAGCGCTCTACCACTTGAGCTACAGCACCACTTCCGGTTTTCTGGTGGTTTATTGGAGATAGGAGTCTCACGGTCTCTCCTGCCCGGGCTGGCTTTGAACCGAGATCCTCAGATCTCAGCCTCCTGAGTAGCTAGGATTACAGGCGTGAGCCACCAGCGCCCGGCTCCGAGCTCTTTTGATCAAGGCTAGTGCTCTACTACTTTGAGCCACAGCGCTACTTCTAGTAGGATGACAGGCGTGAGCCACCAAGACCCAGCTTGACAGTTTTTAGTCAGGAAATCAGGTACCCCAAGCACAGAAAATGAAATATGGCTGAGGACATTAATGGTTACTATTTTTATCTTACCTGATTTAAAAAATACTTGTGGCAACACACAAGTTATATACTTATAAACATAACGTCAAATAAAACAGGATATACATACTAAAACCTAGAAATAAATTAACTACAGTAACTAAACACTAAAACTTTTATCAGATTTTTCAATTTATCATACACAGAGCCCATATTAATAATTTAATTGCTAATCTCTATAAAAGCTGCCATCTTGGGGCTCAGTGGTAGAGCACTTGCCTTGCATCCTGAGGCCTTGGGTTCGATTCCTCAGCACCACATAAGCAAAAAGAAAAAAGTCGGAAGTGGTCCTGTGGCTCAAGTGCTAGCCTTGAGCTGAAGAGTTGAGGGACATTGCCCAGGCCCAGAGTTCAGGCCCCACGACCGGACCAAAAGAAAAAAAAAAGCTGCAATCTCTCCATTTACCTGTGTATACTAGTAAGAAAAATTATCTTACCTTCTCCAATTCGATTCCACAAAAAGTTACCATCAAATCCTCCTAAATAACCTAAAACGGAAAAAGTAACTTCTGGAATATATGGTAGACAACAGAGAAGATATGTATATAAAACATGATTTCTCCCTTTGAGAAAAGGGAATGAAGTTTTTTGTTTTGTATTGTCCCAGTACCAAGGCATGGAATCAGGTCCCGGATGCTCTATCTGAGCGGCCCCTCCCCTCCTCCCCCATCCTGTGGCTTGAACTCAGGGCCTGGGTTCTGTCCCTGAGCTGCTTTTTTTTTTTTGGTCAGTCATGGGGCTTGAGCTCTGGGCCTGAACTCTGAGCTTTTCAGCTCAAGTTGAGCACTCTACCACTTCCGGTTTTCTGAGTGGTTTATTGGAGATAAGAGTCTCTCGGTCTTGCCCGGCGCTGGTGGCTCACGCCTGTAATCCTAGCTACTCAGGAGGCTGAGATCTGAGGATCTCGGTTCAAAGCCAGCCCGGGCAGGAGAGACCGTGAGACTCCTATCTCCAATAAACCACCAGAAAACCGGAAGTGGCGCTGTAGCTCAAGTGGTAGAGCGCTCGCCTTGAGCTGAAGAGCTGAGGGACAGCGCCCAGGCCCAGAGTTCAAGCCCCACGACGGACAAAAAAAAAAAAAAAGTCTCTCAGTCTTTCCTCCCCTGGGCTGGCTTTGAACCACAATCCTCAGATCTCAGCCTTATGAGTAGCTAGGATTACAGGCATGAGCCACCGGCGCCCGGCCTTGTCCCTGAGCTTCTTTTGTTCAAGGCTACCATTCTACCAATTGAGCCTCAGTGCTACTTCTAGCTTTTTCTATTTATGTGGTACTGAGTAATCAAATCCAGGGCTTCATGCCTGCTAGGCAGACACTCTACCACTAAGCCACCTTCCTAGCCCATCTCCCTAAGTCTTTTGCTCAAAGTTAGTGGAGCCACAGCTCTACTTCCAGTTTTCTGGTGATTAATAGAAGACTTTCTTACTTTCTTGCCCCGGCTGGCTTTGAATTGCCATCCTCAGATCTCAGCCTCCTGAGGAGCTTGGATTACAGGCGTGAGCCATCGGTTCTTTAAGTGTTAAATATATTTGGAACTAAAAGCCAATGGTTACTTCTCTTACTAATGGGTCCTACCTCCCAAGGCCAGAAGCATGTGGCCAAATGGTGGCCCGCTGTTATCAATAAAGAAGGTCCGTTTCATGTAAAGAGAGATGAAGACCCCGTAATATACTTCATCAAAACTGGAAGAAAAAAACAAAAGCACATTATATCCAATCCCAAGTCTGCAATATGCTGGGACTGCACCCAGGAACGTGGCTGAACGTGTCCCCAGCCTGACTGGGAATCCTTTCCATAAACCCCTATCTCCAAATGGCTAGGCGAGTGGAGAACAAGGGTCAGATCTTTTGCCCCCAAATATGAAGACACTCTTGCACACATTGTCATCACCCAATCCACAGGGTTGGGACAAGGTAGCCATTACCAGAAGTCAGAATACCTGGCCCTCAGAGATCCCATCTCTATCCTTTTTTTTTTTTTTTTTGGGGG